CGCAAGTCCTGCCCGGCTTCCGCTCGCCTTCGACCCCGCGCCTCACAGCCACCCCCGCCGACTCGGCCCGCTCCGCACCTCACACACGGCCCGCCGGTGGCCGCCGCCATCTTCGCGCGCGCGCGCCCCAGCCCCGCCCCCAGACGCCGTGCCCACGTGACAGTTCGCCTCCGGACGGGCTGTGGATGGTGCTTTTTCGTCACGTGACGGCGGGCGGGGCCAAGATGGAGACGCCCGGAGAGGTGAGGAACCCGCGGCGAGAGCAGCCGGGGCTGTGAAGCGAGCGGCCGAGTGGCAACGTTTCCGTCCTGGGTGCGAGGCGGTGGAGGATAGCTGGGCGCCCGTTCCCAAGCCTCAGAAGGTGGTTTGCCTACAGTGGAGCTTCCCTCCTCGCAGCTGGAGAACGGAAAGAGAAGGTGCTGGCTGTGTGAAACTGCCGCTGTCGTCTTGGCGGGGCTTGAGGGACCCGGAGGCCAAGGCGTAGCTAGTCACCCCGGTTTCCCCGGAGCCCCAGGTCTAGAGACATGACCCGAGAGCACGCTCCCCCGGCCTCGGGGAACGGGGCTCCGCTGAGCGGGTCGGTGCTGGCGGAGGCAGCAGTAGTGTTCGCAGTGGTGCTGAGCATCCACGCAGCCGTGTGGGACCGATACTCGTGGTGCGCCGTGGCTCTCGCGGTGCAGGCCTTCTACGTCCAGTACAAGTGGGACCGGCTGCTACAGCAGGGAAGCGCTGTCTTCCAGTTCCGCATGTCCGCGAACAGTGGCCTGCTGCCCGCATCGGTGGTCATGCCTTTGCTCGGACTGGTCATGAAGGAGCGCTGCCAGGCAGTGGGGAACCCATACTTCGAGCGCTTTGGAATTGTGGTGGCAGCCACTGGCATGGCAGTGGCCCTCTTCTCTTCAGTATTGGCGCTGGGCATCACTCGCCCAGTGCCCACCAACACTTGTGTCATCTCAGGCTTGGCTGGAAGTGTCATCATTTATATCATGAAGCACTCACTGAGTGTGGGCGAGGTGATCGAGGTCCTGGAGGTCCTGCTGATCTTCGTCTACCTCAACATGATCCTGCTGTACCTGCTGCCCCGCTGCTTTACCCCTGGAGAGGCACTGCTTGTATTGGGTGGCATCAGCTTCATGCTTAACCAGCTCATCAAGCGCTCTCTGACTGTGGTGGAAAGCCAGGGAGACCCAGTGGATTTCTTCCTGCTTGTGGTGGTGGTCGGGATGGTGCTTATGGGCATCTTCTTCAGCACCCTCTTTGTCTTCATGGACTCAGGTACCTGGGCTTCCTCCATCTTCTTCCACCTCATGACCTGTGTGCTGGGCCTTGGTGTGGTCCTGCCCTGGCTGCACCGGCTCATCCACAAGAACCCCCTGCTCTGGCTTCTTCAGTTCCTCTTCCAGACGGAGACCCGCATCTACCTCCTAGTCTACTGGTCTCTGCTGGCCACCTTAGCCTGCCTGGTGGTGCTGTACCAGAATGCCAAGCGGTCATCTTCTGAATCCAAGAAGCACCAGGCCCCCACCATTGCCCGGAAGTATTTCCACTTCATTGTGGTGGCCACCTACATCCCAGGTATCATCTTTGACCGGACACTACTCTATGTAGCTGCCACCATATGTCTGGCAGTCTTCATCTTTCTGGAGTACGTGCGCTATTTCCGCATCAAGCCCCTCGGCCACACTCTGAGGAGCCTCCTGTCCCTTTTCCTAGATGAACGAGACAGTGGACCACTCATCCTGACACACATCTACCTGCTCCTGGGCATGTCTCTTCCCATCTGGCTGGTCCCCAGACCCTGCACACAGAAGGGCAGCTTGGGGGGAGCAAGGGCCCTAGTCCCCTATGCGGGGGTCCTGGCTGTGGGTGTGGGCGACACAGTGGCCTCCATCTTTGGCAGCACCATGGGGGAAATCCACTGGCCTGGAACCAAAAAGACTTTTGAGGGGACCATGACCTCTATATTTGCCCAGATCATTTCTGTAGCTCTGATCTTAATCTTTGACAGTGGAGTGGACCTAAACTACAGTTATGCTTGGATTTTGGGCTCTATCAGCATCGTGTCCCTCCTAGAAGCATACACTACGCAGATAGACAATCTCCTGTTGCCTCTCTACCTCCTGATATTGCTGATGGCCTAGCTGCTGTGCAGCAGTGTTGGAGGAAAGAGGGACATGGGGAGGATGAATGGTCCCCACAGCCGCCAGCCACTTGGGCATGAAGAGCCAAGGGGTGAGAAGCAGATTTGATTTTTCAGTTGATTCAGATTCAAAATAAAAATCAAAGCACTCCTGGTTTTAGTTTTGCTGATATTTAAAATGAAAAAAAAGGCTTAAGGAGAACACAGTAACACAAAGAACTTGAGTGTGGTTTAGGACACCCGCCGCTCCCCCACCCCCACCCCCGCTTCATCTTTTGATCCCTGGGGGTGGATCCCGATTGGACCCTGGAGGCAGTAGAGTGTAATGGTCACCACCTCAGGTTCTGGAGTCAAACTAACCTGGTCAGAGTCCTTGGCAGCACTATTTAACTGTGCAAGTTGCTTAACCACTCTGGACCTCAGTTCTGTCTGCAAGATGGGAATAGTAAGAGCCTGCACCTCACAGGTGAGGATCCAGGGAGGTGAGGTGTGTGAAGGGTCCAGCCCACAGCCCATGCGTAATGAACAAATAGTAAGGGTAAGTGCCATTATTAGCCAAGGCCAGCCCTCGTGTCAGCAGAAAGCCAGGCAAGCCAAGAGGTTTTATGGGTTGTGCTTGGAGACCAGCGTGACCTTACTCCCCTGGCTACATTTGGAGGAGAACCCAAGAGGAAAAGAGCCAAGCACATGTGCTTTCTCCCCTTTGGGCTAAAGGGGAGAGGTGAAATCATCTGTTGCTTGCATGGAAGGGCTGGACGAAGAATATCAGGCCGGGGCCGATTTCCTGTTTCAGCCAACTGCACTCCTGCCTCGAGGCCTCTGCTGCCTGGCTGAGCAGTGCTGAGGAAGGTCAAGCTGGATGGCACAGGGTCCTTAGCAGGGGTCCCTCCTGAGACCCTCTCACACTCCAGTCATGTCCAAACCTGTGTTTCTTCTCTTGGTAAGAAATTAGAGACCAGGGGCTGGTGGGGCTCACTGAGAGCTCAGAATGCTTCTGCTGTGGGGCCTGTGCTGTATCCTTGCTCTCTGCGAGGGCAGAGTCCAGGGCTGCCCCATTCCCCACCGTACCCCCCAGCGCCAGCAGAGCTCCGCACTGTAGCAGGAACCCAGTGGACATTTGCCGAGTGGAACCTTTCCCATCAGTGGGAAGATAGAATAGGGAGTTGCCTGAGGCTGGACAAGGTTCTCCCCTTCTCACCCAACCCAGCAGGGAGAGGCCTAGCTGGAAGACATGAAAACTTTGGCCCACCGAGGCCAGAAGCCAGGAGCAGAGCTCTAGCAACCTCTTCAGGCTAGGGATCTCTACCAAGCCCTGTCCCTCAGAGGAAAGTATTCCTTTGGGGTTCAAAGAAGACTTAACAAACCCTTCCCTTCCCTCCAGCAGCTTTCTACTTGCTAAAAGAGGCAGCAAAATGCCAAGGAAGTGCTTTGCCTCACCGACTCCCTGGGTGGACTTTGGGGAAGGGCTCTGTCCTCCAGGCCTCGGCTTATCCACAAACAGAGTGGGGACTGAAAATTAAGGTCACAAATTCTTATGGCTGCTGAGGCCAGGCAGGTACTGCGGTGGAGGACAGGGGAAGTGGGAAGTGAGGAGCGGAGGTGCCTCCAAGGAGGGTGTTCCAGCCAGGCATCACTGCGCTTGGCCATAGGCCCACAGTTGCTGACCTGCTCATTCAAGGAAGCTTAGAAACATGCATCGTTATGTGAAACCTCCCAGTTTTAAAACTTTTTTTTTCAAAAAACACTGAGGCCCAGAAAAAAACACATCTGTAGCCCCAGTTTGCAAACTTTGGGCCAAATCCTGGCTGTGCAGATCTTGACTGTCTACCACATTGCCCTTGCAGAAGGTCTGGGTGCCCGCCAAGCACGCCCACAGAGAGGGACCACAGAGGCCTACTCTGGCCCCTTGATTGTACAGGTGGCAAACTGGGCCCAGCCTGAGACCAGAAAACAAGTCGGTCACAAAGCCAGGACCAGAATCTGGGACTGGATTCCCAGCCCTCGTCTTCTCCTCTCCCCGAGCAAGAAGTACTGGGGAGCACAAAGGTGAGAAGCACAGGCTGAGTCACTAAACTGAACAGCCCTGTGACTGGAGCAGGTCACTGAAACTTCCCACACCACGTGTCAGCTTCTCCCGTCTGTAAACCCAGATGATAAGAGCACCTTGCTGGAAGGTGTGAGGACACAGTGAGACAAACACTTAAAACTCTTGGCACATGGGGTGCCTGGGTGGCTCAGTTGTTAAGCGTCTGCCTTCGGCTCAGGTCATGATCCCGGGGTCCTGGGATTGAGCCCCACATCAGGCTCCCCGCTCCACGGGGAGCCTGCTTCTCCCTCTCCCACTCCCCCTGCTTGTGTTCCCTCTCTCACTGTATCTCTCTCTGTCAAATAAATAAATAAATAAATCTTAAAAAAAAAAAAAAAACTCTTGGCACAGCAAACACCCACGGTGTTATTAAAATCGTGCAGACCTCGGGGCGCCTGGGTGGCTCAGTTGGTTAAGCGACTGCCTTCAGCTCAGGTCATGATCCTGGAGTCCTGGGATCGAGTCCCGCATCGGGCTCCTTGCTCAGCGAGGAGTCTGCTTCTCCCTCTGACCCTCCCCCCCTCATGCTCTCTCTCTCATTCTCTCTCTCTCAAATAAATAAATAAAATCTTTGGGCCGCCTGGGTGGCTCAGTCGTTAAGCGTCTGCCTTCGGCTCAGGTCATGATCCCAGGGTCCTGGGATCGGGCTCCCTGCTCGGCAGGAGGCCTGCTTCTCCCTCTCCCACTCCCCCTGCTTGTGTTCCCTCTCTCGCGGTGTCTCTCTCTGTCAAATAAATAAAATCTTAAAAAAAAAAAAAATCGTGCAGACCTCACCTGGCAGGGCTGGGACACCATCTTGAAAGCAAGGCAGTTTGGGAAAGAAGGGTCGAGAAGCTGCATTCAGAAGTCGCTTTTATTGCATGTCTTGCACCATAATAATCCGAATTGCATCTGAGAGAACAGTGGGAAGCCAGCAGAGAAGTGGCCAGAATGCTTTCACGGTGAGAGGCTGCCTTCAGGGGGAGGTTGAGGTGGGGCAGGGGAGAGGCAGAGAGGTAGAGGTCTCCGGAAGGCCATCCATCCGGGGCTCCTGCTGCCCATCTGCCACCTCCCACCTGCCTGTCTGCAGGGCTGAAGGGCACAGACCCCGGCAGGGAGAAAGTGCAGGGGGAAGAGATTCAACTTCCCCTTTGCAGCTGGGCAGCCAGGCAAGGCGCTGGTGTGTGCGGCCCACGGCTTCACCCAGAGGGGCCAGGCCCGGCCCAGAGAGGGCGTTCAGGTGTACAGTGGGGGAAAGGGCAGCTCAGCTGTTGGCTGGAGCCTGCGGAGAGAGAGAGAGATGACTTTGAGGCACGACTGTCACTGCTCCCTGCCTCCAGGACCTCTTCAGGAGCTTGTCCAAGGTGCGCACGCACGCACACACACACACACACACCCTGCCACCTACCAGTTCTCCGGGCTCCAGACGGTGCCCAAGCTCTCCATGAGATGGAAAGTGTAGGCATGGCGTGAGCGGTTGGAGAGGTTCTGCTCACTCTTGTGTACCACTTCTCCATGGATTAGGACGAGGTCCCCTGGCAGGAACGCACCAGATCAGGAAAACGCTTGGCAGGGAGGGACAAAGCCCCTCCTCCCTTGAGTGGTTCTGTGGCCTGTTCATCCCCCAGGGTCAGAGGCTATGCTATTGGCCAGAGGTTCCCCTGGGACCAAGTCCCCTCTGCTGTGACCTGTGCCCTTGGCAAGCCTTGGCAAGGGCATCCCCTTCTGTGGTGTTTGCAGAACCAGGCCAAAGTGTCTGTACTGTGCCAAGCAGCTGGGACCTCGCTATCAAAAGCTGGGCCGGGTGGTGCCTGGGTGGCTCAGTGGTTAAGCGTCTATCTTCAGCTCGGGTCATGATCCCAGGGTCCTGGGATTGAGCCCCACGTTCCTTCTCCCTCTCTCTCTGTCCCTGCCTCCTTCCCCCGCTCATGCTCTCTCTCTCTCAAATAAATAAAATCTTAAAAAAAAAAAAAAAAAAGCCAGGCTGGACATCAGGTTGCCCTGTTCTAAAAGGAATGGCCAGCATTCGTTCAGCATCTGCTGTGTGCCCCATCTTGTATGCATCCTCTATCTCACTGACCTCCCCACTTTACGTTTGGAAAGACTGAGGCTCAGAGAGGTTCAGTCATTTGCCCAAAGAGACAGCAGAGTCTGAATTCTAGCCTGATCCAGGAGGCCTTCCGGTTAATGGTGCGGCCCTCAGACTTCCCAGTGCCCTTCCAGTCCCACCTCCCATTCTGTGATTTCACGGCCCTCAGGGGAGCTGGGTGGTCGGAGCAAGCACAGACCCACAGGCACGGCCTCGGAGCCTGCCTCCCTGTCCTCTGCATCCCACCTACCTCTCCGCACTGGGGTGGGCACAAAGAGGCTGGCATCCCGGACAGGCTCTGACCCAAGGAAGCTGACATCAGGCTTCGAGCCAGCAGGGGTCCGGACCAGCCTTCTGGACACCCCACCTGCAGGCCAAGGTGGAGCCTTTAGCCTCTCTTTTATCCAGGCCTCTCTGCCAGTGGGGGGGAGGGATACGAGTGGGCAGGGTGAGACAGGTGTCCTTACCAGTATGGGAGCCTGGGATGAACCAGAGGCAGCCATTCTCCAGAGTGGCATCCTCCAGTGCTATCCATATGCCCAGAAGCCGGCCCAAGGGCTCCGTGTGCAGGAAGGTGGAGTCCTGGTGAGGGGCGACTGCAGCAGGCCACCCCAACCCCGGGCATGAGGAACCTGGCCCACCTCACCTTGGCCTTGTTCCCCACTCCCTGGTGCTCTCAGAGCCTTCCCGGGTCAGTTGGAAACCCACCACTTCCTGGCCTGGAGACTCAGGGCACGAGATTTCACCTCTCAAAACTTCCATTTCCTAAACCATGAAGTGGCCTCGGCAGTCACCTACCTCATAGGGTTGCTGGAGGACCCCACGACACGGTGTGTGAAAAGTGCTTAGTCCCGGGCTCAACGCTATGCGTGCTAAAAAGTGGCTGATGTGGTTTGATTCTAGCCAGGCAACTAAAGCCACCATCCTTTCCCAAACAGCCACCAGAGGGTCCACCGGGCGGCGTAAGACTGGGCAGTTGAGTACAAAAGGTGAGGGCGTGCGACTGGCCCCCATCCACATCTTAACCCCCTCCACCCGATGCTGGGGCCCAGCCAGGATGGAGGACCACTGAACAAAGGACTTCAGACTGCAGATGCCAGTCTCACTTCCTTCCTTCCCGGGGAACTGGGTGTTTTCCAAGCCCCAAACTTGAAGAGGGACTTGAACAGTCCAGACAGTGTCCAGAGGAAGGTGTCCTAATAGTGGGTGCCCCAAAGAATTTGGAGGAGGACCGACTGAAGGAGGTGGGGGTGCTGAACTCGGGGAGGGGCTGCTCATCCCTTCAGGAGACTGTCCTCAGGCTGAATGGTGGGGAGGAGCAGGCAGTCACAAGGAGGCCGACTTGGGCTCATGCAAGAAAGGAAAGGGCTGGCTGTGAGGGGATGAGCCCCCTGTCACAGGAGGTATTTAAGCAGAAGTAGATAATCGCCCACGAGGGAGGCTAGAAAGGGTATCTGTGCATCCAGAGGGGAACAAAAGTTAGCTTCTTCCTCTTGCCCATGGACACCTCAGCAAGCGCCATCCCTCCCTGCACAGACCTGACAACCACCAATGCCCCAGATCTCCCACCGTGGCCTTTGCTGGCCCCCACAGCGTGTTCTCAGCTCACCTTCGCCACCAAAGTGAGGTTGCTGCAAGAGAGAAGAAGGGCCAGGTGGGGCCAGGGGAAAGTGGATTGGAGCAGGGGCCGCTCTGAGTCTTGTGGGGTGCTCTAGCCCAGCCACAGGTTATCCTCTGAGGATTCCACGCCAGCACCCAGCTATGGAGTACCCACCATGTGCCAGGCCCAGGAGGGCTGCAGAGAGAGAAAGCGCCCTGCCCACAGGGTGCTCCAGGTCTGGGCACACGCATGCCTACCGAGAGCAAAGGCAGAAGCGAGGGGCAGCAAGAGTGACTTGGGCCCAGGCCTGAGGCTAAGCCTCTCAGCCCCACAATCAGAGATGGTCCCTCTCTTCCCAGGGGAAAACTGGAAGGCTTCTTGGAGGAGGTGGCACTGAGCTGGGCCTTGAAGCTGGGAGCAGAGCATTGCAATGGCAAAAGAAGGAAGAAGGGAGTCCTAGGGGTCTCCTTCCCTCCTGCCACAAAATTTTAACTGAGCACCAACTAAATGCCAGGCGCCTTATCCAGAGGAGACGGATTTTGCATGTTCTCCTTGCAACTTAGTAATTCCTCAGGGAAGCAGCTTTTGGCCCCATCGTATCACTTCAAGGTGAGTCCCCATGGTATGAGGACTCTGCCCATATTACAGAGGATAAACTGAGGCCTGGGGAGGACAGGGGAGCTCACCTTGAAGATGTACATGCTCTGCACGACCACGGGCATCTGGAAGCCCAGACTTTTGGCCAAAGCCTGAAAGGGGACAGAGGTCAAACTTCCAGTCTGCCCTCACTCACATCTGGGCCCCCCCCCCCCGACCCTCATCCACACCCCTGCTCACCTGCACCTTGGGGGAGTATGTGACACTCCTGAAGACAGGGTCATAGGCATGCAGAGCTGCAGGACAGAGGCAGGCTGACGAACCAGCCCCCCCGCCCTCACGCGTCCCTCCGTGCCTGGCCCTGGGTGCCCAGACACGGGCCTTACTATGGCTTCTCACCTATTTGTATGCATTGAGCTTTCTGCTGGTTTATAACCAAGAGATGGGCCCACAACCTTATTCTCGACCTGCAGCCATCTGGAAACCTCACTCCAGACCTGACTCAAAGGGGCCCCTAACTTGGTAGTAATCTCGGTCCTGCCACTTGCTCTGTGCTGATTCAGGTGACCATTTCTCTCCTCTAAGCCTGTTTCTCCTCTGTACCGCAGAACCAAACACCAGCCCTGCCTCTCAGGCTGCCCCAAGACTCGAAGGGCTAACACATGTGCGGTCTCAAGCCAGGGCCTGGCACCGAATACCTGATCACCTCATTATTATTATTGTTGTCATTACAAAAAGTGAGGGATGGCGGGCACCTGGGTGGCTCAGTCGGTTAAGCGTCTGCCTTGGGTTCACGTCATGATCCCGGGGTCCTGGGATCGAGTCCTGCGTCAGGCTCCCTGCCCAGGGGGAGTCTGGTTCTTCCTCTCTCTCTGCCCCTTCCCCTCTCCGCTCGTGCTCTGTCTCTCAAATAAATAAATAAAATCTTTTTTTTAAAAAGTGAGGGTTGGATATACTTATTGCCACTGAATTGTGTATTTCAAAATGGTTATGATGGCAAATTTTATATGTATTTTACCACAATTCTTTTCAGAAAGCTACCATGATATAACTTCAAGTTTAAAAATGAGTGGGGGCACCTGGGTGGCTCAGTCAGTTGAGCGTCCGTCCGACTCTTGATTTTGACTCAGGTCATGATCTCAGGGTCATGGGATCGAGCCCCTGCATCGGACTCTGCGATCAGTGGGGATTCCGCTTGAGATTCTCTCTCTCCCTCTCCCCCTCCCCCTGCTCACACACTCTCTCTTTCTCTCTCTAAATAAATAAATAAAATCTTAAAAAAAAAATAAGCGGTCTGCAAAATAAATTATAACGTATGATCCTGCAGAAAAAAAGATGGCACCCTAGCTTCATGTTGGGGTCTCAGAATATGGGCGATGCTAACATGTTAAGTGCTCCTGAAGGAGGCTCCAGGAAGCAGTGGGAACCAGGAGGCACCCCCATGCCTGAGGCCTGGATCATTACCAGGTCGGGCAGCAGAGGGTCTGCACACGTCCATCTGCATGGGGGCTAAGGTGGCCCCTCTTCCCAGCCCTGTGGTGCCAGTGTCTAGGATTAGCATCGTAAGGCCAGAGGAGCAGGCCCAGAAGGGGAACTGAAGCCAGAAATGCCTTTTGCTGGGCCACTAACTTACGGTGGTCCTTGGGTTAGGCCCCAAGGCTCTTCAGGCCTCAGTTTCCCTGTTTCCTTTCCCCCAGGCACCTGCTTACCGTGGCCAATTTTATTGACGGACTTCTCCGGAGGGACCAGGAAATTTCCTGTAGCACAAGGAACAGGTAAAGGCAAATGAGCTGGAGTCCACCTTCCCCTGAGCAACTGGCCTTGGGGGCCCCCCAGCTGTGCGGGGAGACACCCCAGTCCAGCCCTTCCCACACCCCGGGGGCCCCAGCTCCGAACCTTTCTTGTCAAAAACACCTTTCTCGAAGAAGAATCGAATCTTGTCGCCACTGCTCAAGAAATAGTCTTTGTCGCCCTGGCCCTGTGGAGAGGGGATGTCAGAGGGACTGAGAGAGCATCACAGGGTCAGAGCCGGGCCCGGCCAAGAGGGAAGGGGATGCTCATGCTTCCCAACCCCGCAGGGCTACAGACCCCCCTGGCCCTTCTCAAACTCATCCACTGAGGCACAGACCTCAGTGAACAGGAACCCCAAGTGCCTGGAAGTGCAATAGGAAGCCACAAGCATAAAACTTCTTGGGAACCTCTTAATAAGTCACATGATTCTTAGGCTCGGTACGGTGTGATTCTGAACCTAGGCACCGTAATCAAACAGGCATGGTTCCCAGGTAGCCTTGGTCACTTGTTTTACTGCTCGACGCCTGTTTCCTCATCTGTAAAGGGAAATAATAAAAGAACGGACCTCCTCTGGATTGGTGGAGGCTTCGGGCAGAGGCTGAACCTTTAGTAGTTGAGAGCACAGCCCATAGAGCTAGAATACTCGGGTTCAAATCCCAGCTCTGCCAGGCGGTTGCTGTGTGACCACAACCACAGTACTAAACCTCTCTGGGCTTAGTTGCCTCATTAAGTAGAGATGTGATTAAAGGTATCTCATAGGGCATTGTAGAGATTTTGAATTGGTATATACATAAAGCACCAGAACAGTCCTTGGAATGTGGAAAGTGCCGCATGAATATCTGCTTTTATCATCATCATTACTGCTGTTGCTAAACAAAAAACAGCCAGGGCACGGCTAAATGCTTGATGAATATAACCTATTACTCATCCTTTTCTGTTTTCTCAATAACCTTTCCTTGTTAATTTTAATATCATGTTTTGTGTTTCTTTTTTTAAAAGATTTATTTATTTTTTTTTAAAGATTTTATTTATTTATTTGAGAGAGAGAGAATGAGAGACAGAGAGCACGAGAAGGAGGAGGGTCAGAGGGAGAAGCAGACCCCCCGCCGAGCAGGGAGCCCGATGCGGGACTCGATCCCGGGACTCCAGGATCATGACCTGAGCCGAAGGCAGTCGCTTAACCAACTGAGCCACCCAGGCGCCCAAGATTTATTTATTTTAGAGAGAGAGAGGCGCACGCTGGGGGAGGAAAGGCAGAGGGAGAGGGAGAGAGAATCTCAAGCAGGCATCCTGCTGGGCACAGAGCCCGACGTGGGGCTCAATCTCACAACCCTGAGATCACAACCTGAGCCAAAACCAAGAGTCGAAGGCTTAACTGACTGCACCACCCAGGCGCCCCCATGGTTTACATTTCTTAGCGTCATATGAAAGTGACGCTTCAGGAAGATGCCCAGTGTTTTCCCTGTGATTTTAGCTGCCCTTGGCTACCATCATGTAGCACAATCTCCCTACCTTCCTGTGTGGTCACACGAATGGAGCTGAGGGTGCTGACCCCCCAAGTTCTCCAGGTAGCACTGCCCCCTGGCTCCCTCACGCGTGCACACCTGCTCTCACGTGTGCCTCGGGATCTGTGGTGACCTGCTGGGCCCTTTCACCACACTTCCCACTGAAAACTATACATTTGTTTTCCAACATTCATAGCTGTTCTGTATCAGGATCAGGGTGAGGGAAAAAAATCAGGGAAGCATAACTGATAATAATAATATTAAAGATAATGAAGCTGGGGCGCCTGGATGGCTCAGTCGTTAAGTGTCCGACTTTTGATCTCAGCTCAGGTCTTGATCTCAGGGTTGTGAGTTCAGGCCCCACGCTGGGCTCCATGCTGGGCGTGGAGCCTACTTAGAAAATAATAATAATTAAAGATAATGAAGCTAAACATGTCAAAGATTCTACTTGACTCCTTAATTCACAAGGGAACCAGTAAAATGTTCAAAGAATTCCAAGAATGCTGAAATGAATTTGCAGATGGATGGGACACGGATCGATCTACAAACGATAATTGCATTCTGCTGGACCCACTTCATACCCACTTCTGTGGACATTATTATCAGGTTTTTTTTTTAATTTTTTTAAATTTTTAAGTGATCTCTACACCCAACATGGGGCTCGAACTCACGACCCCAACATCGAGTGTCACATGCTCTACTGACTGAGCCAGCCAGGCTCCCCTGTTATTATCAGTTCTATACAACTTACAGAGTCAGAAAATAACTCAAAGTAAGCTGGAAGGGGATGATCTTTTTCCTTTTATTTTTTTAAGATTTTATTTAATTATTTGAAAGAGAGAGAGCACACGCTCATGCATGTGCGCACATGGGTGGGGGGAGGAGCAGAGAGAGAGGGACAAGCAGACTCCCCCCTGAGCAGGGAGGCTGACACAGGGCCCGATCCCAGGACTCTGAGATCAGGACCCTGAGATCAGGACCTCGAGGGTTAGGCTTAACTGAGCCACCCAGGTGCCCCTGATCTTTTTCCTTTTAATGCCCATTTCAAAGTCTTAATATCAGTGGTGAATATTGAGGGTTTACCGAGTACCAGGCACTGTGCTGAGCTCTTTGCAAGCATTATAAACCAAGATACAGACACTTTATTCTCCCATTCTCCACCCAACCCTTCACTGGTCTCTGGAACATTCTCAGAAGGCAGCTTGGAGGGCACTAGATTGGCCCCCCTCACTCTTTGGGGCCTTGAGTGACCTGTATCTAGGCACTGGATCCCCTTCTCTGCTGTCCCCACCTAGAAGGCGGGAGTGAGGGCAAATGAAACCCACTATTTGGAGGATATTATTCTGTAACCCTTAGTCCTACTGAAGTGCCCCAGCCGCGCTCTCCTGGTTCCGTCTTCTGGCCATTGTAATTCCCTTTATGACCACCAGATGGCAGGAGCTCCACAGCATGAAGGAGCTGTATTAGCAGGCAGGGACCACAGCTTTGGCTCAGGGGCCACGCCACAAACAGGCTCCTTTTTCCGTTTTTCTTTTCTCTCTCTCTCTCTCTCTCTCTTTCTTTCTTTCTTTTCTTTCTTTCTTTCTTTCCTTCCTTCCTTCTTTCCTTCTTTCCTTCTTTCCTTCCTTCCTTCCTTTTTCTTTCTTTCTTCTTTCTTTCTGATTGTATTTATTTATTTAAGAGAGAGCAAAAGCGAGAGGGCTCACAGAGGGAGAGGAAGAAGCAGACTCCCCGCTGAGCAGAGAGCCCGATGCCTGGGACAATGACCTGAGCTGAAGGCAAGACGCTTCATCAACTGAGCCACTCAGGCGCCCCCACAGACAGGCTCCTGAAGGGTTAAGTGAACTGTGTGGGAGAACCCCGAGTCTCAACTTACCCCATGTCAAACTGTATTGAGTCCTATTAAGTCATGAGGGGTGGGGGTGGAGAAGCTGTGTTTCTAGTCTCACTGGCAGATAAGGCTGACACAGGGCGGGGTCCATCAGAATCACTTGGCTCATTCTGGATTGCTGGCCACAAAAGAGGCCCTTGGGGCAGGAGAACCACTAAGGAAGTACAGCAGAGCCATGAACAGCCGATCTGGGTTCAAATCCCCATTCTACCAATTACTAACCACAGGGTGTGGGGCAAGTGAGCCAGGCCTCATTTTCCCCAGCTGTCAAATGGGGGTAATAACACCAACCTTATAAATCCATAGTGAGGGGATGCCTGGGTGGCTCAGTCATTAAGCGTCTGCCTTCGGCTCAGGTCATGATCCCAGGGGCCTGGGATCGAGCTCCGCATCGGGCTCCCTGCTCGGCAAGAAGCCTGCTTCTCCCTCTCCCACTCCCCCTGCTTGTGTTCCTGCTCTCGCTCGCTCTCTCTCTCTTCAAATAAATAAATAAAATCTTAAAAAAAAAAAAAAATCCATAGTGAGGAGCGAAGGAAATATGCAGATAAGGCACTTAGCCTGGCACAGGGAGGGCTCAGGGCCTGATTTGTTACCAGAACAAGCCCATGGGCCTCGGTGCCCTCCCTTCCAGGCTGCTGCTCTGGCTGGGGACTGAGCCCCCCATCAAAGATCAGATCCCATTCTCACCTGCCCCAGGCACTTACTTTGGTTCCCAGCTGCTCATCTTCCCGGGTGGAAAATTCTATGCGGCAGTGGGCAGGGACATCCATGGCAGCCACTAGCTCGCCAATCCTCTGTTGCATGGCGGCACATTCATCTGCAGATAAAAATCCTTCCAGCACCAGGAATCCATCCTCCTGAAACTGAAGGCAAGAAGAAAACTCAGGCTTCCCTCTTTCACACGCTGTTTATGAGGACTGACCTGACCCCTCCCTGAAACCCAAAGCTGTGTGAGGGCAGGACCAAGTGTCCTGTTCATTGCTCTGTCTCCCCCACACGCAACCCCACCCCAGCCACGGTGTCTGGAACCCAGTGAGGAGCAGCCAATATTGGTTGCTTGAATGAAGGGAGGAGGAAGGGGAGGTCCCCCCCCCATTCTTCCCCTCCAGTGGGCTTGGGTCACATGGGAATACAACCTCATTCATTTATTCAACTACAACTCACTGAGCATCTACCGTGTATCAGCATGGTTTTAGGGGCTGGAGCTACAGTAATGAGGAAGCCTGCCGTCCTGGAGCTTACAGTCTAGCAACGGAGGCTGACATCAAACAAACCATCGTGCAGAGAGATGTGCTGTCACAAACCGCTGCATGCAAGGAGGGGGAGGGCAGATTCAAGAGCTAAAGGCAGAGGTGTCTAATGTAAACCAGATGGGGGGACAGAGGAGTCTCAGGGCAGCAGCTCTGACATTTGGCATTTAAAGGGGCATTTAAAGGGGACCAGCAGGGGCATCTGGGTGGCTCAGTTGGTTAAGTGGCTGCCTTTGGCTCAGGTCATGATCTCCAGGTCCTGGGATCCAGTGCCATATCAGGTTCCCTGTTCAGCGGGGAGTCTGCTTGTCCCTCTCCCTCTGCCTCTCCCCCTGCTCGTGCTCTCTCTCTCTCTCTCGCGTGCGCGAATAAATAAAATCTTTTTTTTTTTAAGATTTTATTTATTTATTTGACAGAGCGAGACACAGTGAGAGAGGGAACACAAGCAGGGGGAGTGGGAGAGGGAGAAAGAGGCCTCCCGCAGAGCAGGGAACCCGATGCAGGGCTCGATCCCAGTACCCTGGAATCATGACTTGAGCTGAAGGCAGATGCTTAACAACTGAGCCACCCAGGTGCCCCTAAATAAAATCTTTTAAAAAAATAAAGGGGACCAGGAGGATAATGAGAGTTGGAGACAAGGATGAAAATTCTAGACCAAGGGAGCAGGATGTGTGAAGTCCCTAAGCATGGGAGGGACACAAGGAATTGGGGCCAGATGGAGCAAAGTGAGGGTGGGGGTAGAAGGGAGGCAGGAGGGTGGGGGGTGGGCAGGCCAGGCAAGGAGGTGGGCTTTGTCCTGAATGCAGTGCAGAGCCGGACAGGTTAAAACAGTGAGCTTATTCTGATTTGCCTCCAGACCTCTTACTCTGTGGCTATTGAGAGGCATGAGGAGAGAGAGAACATCTACATGTTTGCTTGCAGACCATTATAAAATCTTAGCATTGGAAGTCACCTCTTGAACCCACTGTGAAGTATCTGATTCCCAATTACTGACTCCCCCCCACTCCCTCCCTCACTCCCCCATGGATGCCCAGTTCTGGCTTCCACACGTGGGAAGTTGGGACATTCATGCTCACCCACCGTGGTCCCTTTGGTCTCTAGACAGCTCTGTGTGACAGATACTTAATCCTCGGGGCGCCTGGGTGGCTCAAGTCATGATTGAGGGCTCCTGGGATGGAGCCCCACGTCGGGCTCCCTGCTCAGCGGGGAATCTGCTTCTCCCTCTCCCCTCTGCCTCTGTCCCTGCTTATGCTCATTCTCGCTCTCTCTAATAAATAAATAAAATCTTTCTTTAAAAAAAAAACTTAATCCTCACATCAGTATCAAGCTGAACATTTCCTCCTTGGGAACTAGGTCACCCACAGCAAACTGTGTGTACCCCCGACCCAGCAGACACGCTGAGGCAAGAACTTGTTGAGGTAAAAACTTGGGGGCTCAGCAAATAAGGGAGCAAAGATGTACTAATGGGGATATTCACTGAGGCTGGTTGAATGAGAGCAATAAATGGGAAACAACCTAGATGCTCAGCACAAGGAGAGTCATTCAACAAAGTATGTTTGATCTATCTGGAGCACAACACAGCTGATAAAAATCATGTGCTAGAAAAATATTTACTGACATGGACATATGTGCCTGATACACTGTGAGATGGGGAAAAAAAAAAAAAAAAGCTGAACACAGATTAATATTTTAGCCAGTGCAAGATCTTGGGCGGCCCCCTTCCCTTTTTGGCCCTCAGACCATCAAGTCGGAGAAACAGTACTTCCTCCTTTATAAAACACTGGGCAGGGCGCCTGGGTGGCTCAGTTGGTTGAGCGACTGCCTTCGGCTCAGGTCATGATCCTGGAGTCCCGGGATCGAGTCCCGCATCGGGCTCCCTGCTCAGCGGGGGGTCTGCTTCTCCTTCTGACCCTCCCCCCCTCATGCTCTCTATCTCATTCTCTCTCTCAAATAAATAAAATCTTTAAAAAAAAAAAAAAAAAACGCTGGGCAAACACTCATAAGAAGTAGCTATGGTGATGGACTTTTAAAGATTCTAGGGCTGGCTACCAAAATACTAAGTCTCAGGGTGGCAAATTATGGGTACTTTTTCATTTTCTTCTTTGAGATTTTTCTGTATTTTCTTTTTTTTTTTTTAAGATTTATTTATTTATTTATTTATTTATTTATTTATTTATTTATTTATTTATTCATTTGAGACACAGAGATACAGAGAGAGAGAGAGAAAGCATGAGCAGGGAGAGAGGGAGAGGGAGAGGGAGAAGCAGGCTCCCCGCTGAGCCAGGAGCCCGATGTGGGGCTGGATCCCAGGACCCCGACATCATGACCTGAGCCGAAGGCAGACGCTTAACCATCTGAGCCACCCAGGTGCCCCAGCATTTTCTTCTTGTCATCAGGAACAAACAAGGGTCGCGTTTTTTAAGTCTGTGTCACTCTTAATTCCCGAGCGTTAGCCTTTCGCGTTTGACCGCTGGTGGGACCCGGCCGCCCTCGCCGGGCTCGGGGCGGGGGCGGGGCGATCCGCCCCTCGTTGACCCCGCCCCATCCCGGGCCCTGGCTCCTCCCCCCACCCCATCCCACCCCCGCCCGCGTTCCCCCCCTCTTGCCCTCTTTGCTCTCAGGGCCCACTGCTGGGCCTGGACTGGCCCATCTTTACTTTTTTTTTTTGTTTTAGATTTTATTTATTTATTTGCGAGAGAGCGCGAGTGCGCCGGATCCGGAGCAGGGCGGGCAGGCAGAGGCAGAGGGAGAAGCGGACTCCCTGCTGAGCAGGGAGCCCGGTGCGGTGCTCAATTCCAGGACCCGGAAATCATGAGCGGAGCCAAAGGCAGACGCTCAACCGACTGAGCCACCCAGGCGCACCTGATCTTTACTCTTTATTCTGGTTTCCATCACACATTCCCACCTCACCCCGGACCTGTGGCCCTGACGGCCCCCAGCTGTGTGTGCAGAAGTTAGGGGTAGTGATTGGACACTGACCACTCTGGGTTTCAGTTTCCTCTTCTGAAAAATGGCAGGGGGTCAGGTTGAGTTTCCCAGGGTCTACTAGAGGCGCGGAGGCACCCCCAACTCTTACGTCCCTCTCGGACCCCCACCCCACATGACCCTACCTTCTGGAGCTGGGAGGGGCTCGGGCAGGCCATGAGGATGAGACTCTGGGTGCTGCGCTGCTGGAGGCCAGAGAGGAGAAAATACAAATTAGAGTATGAAGTTCAAGTTCGGAAGTTCCTAGTACGGTGGGGGTGCAGAGTAGCTGGAGCCTGGGAGGCCCAGGAGGACTTAACCCTTGCCTACCCTGACGAAACCCAATCCCAGCCCCCAGCCCCCCCCTCCCCCAAGCACACACACCAGCCTGAATTACCCCCCCCCCCCATCACTTCTGTGCCTGGATGGAGCCCTTGCCTCTGACCCAGCTCAATACCCTGGGTCCATCCCCCAGTTAATCCAGGATTAGCCCTTTCCAATCTCCCTCATGATTTTTAATGACTCCCTCCCAGTTGCTTTGCAGAAACCACTCCCTTCTGGCTGCTAACCAGGTGCCTAGAAATTGTATTCCAGGAGTGTCAGTTGAAAGAAGCTGGGTAGGCAGGAGGATCCCGGAGTCCCAGTCCAGGCACCCTGACTCACTGTGACCTCTGATGAATGTCAGCCCCTCTCTGGACTTCACGCGTGGATTAGAAAGTCCCCAGGCCACCAGCATCAATGTGGGGTGGGGGTGGGGGGATACATATCAGACGGGTCAGACTGGGCCAAGTGGCTTTGTGTTCCAAAGGTGGAAAAGGTCCCTCAGAGAATTGTCTGGGCCTCTCCCAGCTCTGATCCCCTGAAACTCTGTCAGCCTTGGGAGGATTAGGGAAAGATGGAAGGGTCAGCCTACAGCTCAGAGGAAGACAGCAGGTAAAGGGATATCTTAGAGGCGAAGCGGCTAGGGGCACCTAGTTGGCTCAGGTGGAAGAGCATATATATGACTCTTGATTTCTGGGTCCTGAGTTCAATCCCCACATTGGGTGCAGAGATTACTTAAATAAATAAATCTAAAAAGAAAAAGAAAAAGGAAGAAAGAAAGAGGAAGAGGATATAGATGGGGGCTTGCGTCTCCAGAATGAGGGAGGGAGAAACCCTGGTTCCTGTTCCCCACCCACCCCCCAGGCCCAAGATGTTGGGTGTCTCAAATACAGCTGGCACAGTGGACACCACCAGCAAGGACAGAAGCCACCGGCCCTGCTCAGCAGCTGATGGGGCCATTTTGGCTGTAGCTCCTGAGGACTGGCCCCTGGCCTTCCCCAGAATGACATTTTTCTGAATGGCGAAGGGACAGAATGTCTTGGGAGTGAGCATGGGGACATGAGCTCAGCCTTCGGGAGCCTTGGCCCCAAGTCAAGTCGTGTTTTCTGGGCCCACTGCCCTGGGAGTGACTGCTCGGTGACGATTCCCGAGGGCCAGGGAGGGGGGTGGCCAGGCTCCTGAGAATGGAGAAGAGGTTCTGAGGAGCTCAGTTGGGGGAGAAGAGCAGGCAGAAGACAAACGATGCAGGAAATACAGTGAGACTAAGCTCACTTGAGGCAAGGCCCGTTCCCAGCAGTCCTGGCCCCATCTGATGAAACTGCCCAACAAATACAGGGACACCTACCATGTGTCAGGGGCACAGCGAGGGTCCCATCATGCTGGGCTAGCAGCTCCCCTGGGAACCCCCACCAAAGGCTTGTAGTGGAGGCTTAGTGAGGCAGACTGGGTTTGAGTCCAGGCCTGGGCCTTGCTTTCCCCATCTGTAGTTTGGGGATAACCTCTCATAAGGAGGAAGAGGAATGCTTTACTGCCTATAAAGAGCTTGGCACAGGGCCTAGCACTTACTACAAGTGCCTATCAGCTGTTCACCAAAAGTTAGCTGGGGCTGTTCTGGATGAAATGTGAGGGTATTTTGATTTTTGAACTTTCCCGTTTTCCAAACTGCTCTTGTCATCAGTGGAAAGACTATACCACTGAGGTTGGGAGTGGACAGCCCTGGCGGGTCCAGATGGGAGGAGGGGCTAAGCCTCCGAGATTTCCTCATGCATCCTGCTCAGGCTTTGGGAGGTGGGTTTGCATTGTGTTTTTTATCCCCCCCAAAAGCTAACCAGCTACAGATCCAACACTCCTGCTGCTGGTGGCACCGGGCGGCCCCAAGACTGGGGAGGGGAGTGGGAGTTGGTGGGGGGGTACCAGACCAGACAGGAGGGGAGGACCTCCACTGCGGAGACCCAGGAGTGTCTCAGAGGGGATCACAGCCCAGCTGCTCAGCCCTGAGGTCACCTGGAGGGGTCACAGTCCCATGGAGGGAGGAAGGACAGACTCTGGCCTGTTCCAGAGGAGATGCCCAAGCAGCGGCTAAGGCCTAATCACTAAGGCGGAGGTCAGACACAATGGCCTTTCTTCTTCACCAAAAGCCCCCTGCCCCTGGGTCCGCATGGCAGCCCAGCGCAAACCTCACTGGTCCAGGAGGAGGATATCAGTTATTGGGCATTAAGAGCCAACTATTTGCCAACTAAAAGGCAACTTCAAGTAAGCCTCAGAACAGTCCTGCAAGGTTGCCGATACCAGCCTGATGTTACAAACAAGGAAACTGCTTCCACATCAGATAAATGGCAGGGCTACGATTTGAAGGCAGCTCTGCCCATCGCCCTGAGCCTCTGCAATGGACCCAGCACCTTCAGCAGGCTCCCAAAGGGGCTAGGAGCCGGCTCCCCCACAGTGACTCTCAGCCCCACCTCTGCAGAGCCCGGGGGAATGGCTGCTGGGAATTACGAGGGACCTATGAGAGCATAGAGTGGAAACGCCCATTGCACAGATGGGGATATGGAGGCCGTAGGGGGGAAGGGGTCAGCCCAGCTTCATGCAGGGAATAATAGAGCTGGGACAAGAATGGAGACTACTGGCTCCCATTCCAGTGTCCCCCTCCCCACCCCGGCCCCCCGACCCATCAAAGCTCATGAAGGCTCAAACCACAGGTGACCAGGCCAGCGGCAGGACCCCCGGCCCATGCCACGCCTGACATGCAGCAGGCGTTCTGTCCAGCCCACGCCCAGTAGCGGCCTCCAAAGGGCAGGGAGAGGGGCAGTTACCCACCTTCTAGAAGCCCATCAGTGGCCATTCAACAAACCAGTCCACAGGGCCCAGCAGGACCCAGAGAGCTGAGGGTAGGGTCCCCCGCACGACACGGAGATCTCCAAAGGCTACTTTCTGTTACAGATTTATTTGATATTTGAACGGAGTCTACAAGTTCAGACCCTCATGTAACGGATTGCTTCATGGTTGTCAAAGGCTAGTGTGCATTATTTCTGAGGATTACATCTGCTGACATGACGCAGAAAACACAAATGGACAAATGGACATAATCGTTAAGACAAGAGACGCTAAAACGTGCCTTAGTGTCCAAGTGATTGATCTAAGGCGGGGAACCCTTCTAATGCAGGGACCCCGTGACTGATCTAAATTGAGGTGGCTTCTTGCCACCAGGCGCCGAGAGGGCTGTGTGTGCCTGGCGCCTGGGACAGAAATTGGAAACCCAAACCTGGGGAGCCTGCCCCTCCCAGCGGCGACCTCCCCACCCATGACCCCGCCTCCAAGTGTCTCTTCTGAAGGACCAGGCGGTGACAGGGCTGATGTCAGTGGTTGAGGCTAGGGGTGTCACTGGGCAAACTCATGACACATGAGGTGGGAAAGCAGAGTCCGGGCGAGGTAGCTCCTCCTGGCTCCTTAACACTGTGACGAGGGACGGATGGGGAGGATGGAGCACCGTTCATCCGGGGATTAGCCAACCCGAGTCTCCTCCTTTCTTGGCAGCTCCAGAACATTCCCTTTGGCCAACAGCCACAGAAATGAGTGCCTGCCAAGACACACGGAGGAAAAAGAAAACAAGACACCAAAAACAAAACAAAACAAAACAAAAAACCCCTCCCTGGAGAGGAAAGGAAAAAACAGAACTCCTGGACCAAGGTCTCACCAGACTCAAAGACATCCTGCAGCCCGCACCCCGGGGGGGAAGGAAACAGTTCAGTTTCTTGCTGCTCTGCTCAAGGGAAGCTGCCGTCCTGCCCTGAGACCCCAACTCACTGGCCTTCACTGTCTTTTGTGGGGGGTTTTTTAGTGTTTTTTTTTTTCTTTTTAATACCAAACCATCAATTTTCAAAGCTTTAAAAAAAAGTTCTTTTTTTTCTTTTTACTTACAAAAAAAAGAAATCTAAAACTGCTGAGACCAGCCCCAGGCCTGGCCTTTCCACCTGACGGCCTGCTGTCCCCTGGGCCACACTGCCAGAGCCCAGCCCAGCACCCCTGGGGCAACTGTCACGGCTGGCTCTCCCTGGACCCCTCTGCTCCAGTCTGGGTGGTACTGCCGGGGGCATCACCAAAAAAGGAAAAGGGAAACTGCCCACCCTTCCTTACATACCCCCGATCGGAGCTGAACTTTGTTGGGAATGTGTAAGTTATCCGGAGGGAGGGGATGCGAAGTGGAGAAAAATAAATACCAAGAGCTAAGTGGGCGTCCCCGGGCCTCTGGCATCAGCTCAGCCTCTAGGGCAGAGATGGCCTCCAGGGGGAAGGCCCTGATTGTCCAAATACTGCGCTCTAAGACACAGGTCTCTGCTCTCCCCGACAGGCGCCCGCCCTGGGGGGGGCATGAGTCTCAGAAGGAGGAAAGGGGCCAGCCCCTCAGGTACTGTCCCGTGGCCACAGCCCAGCCAACATCCAGCCCCAGGCTCCTGCCCTGGCTGAGGCCTGGCTGGTCGTCCCTGGGTGTCTGGGTCCCTGGGCCCTGAGGACTCCTCAGCGACCCGGTGCTCAGCTGTCCACCGGCGCTCAGGCCTGCTCCTTGTCGGCCCTCCACAGCCGCTCCTTCACCTCGGGTGGCAACGTGTTAAACAGGTCCTCCTCCACCACCAGGCCGCTGCGCTTGAGCAACGGACACTCGCCCAGCTCCACGGGCAGGCACTCCAGCCGGTTGCCCCGCAGCTCGATCTGGGTCAGGTTGGTCAGCTCGCCCACCCGTGAGGGCAGTGACTGCAGCACGTTGTTGCCCAGGTGCAGGGCCCTCAGCTTCCGGCACTGAAAGAGTTCCGGGGGCAGCGCCTCGATCTGGAAGGGCAGGAGCAGAGGGCCAAAGTGAGGGGCACAGCTCAGATCTGGGGCCTTGGCCAAGGCTTCTCCCCGCCCCCTCACCCCCACCCCTGTCCCAGGCACCAGCATCCCCTCTGAAGCCCATTTCAGCTCCCTGGGCCCAGGACGCAGCACCGTCTGGCCTAAAGCCTGGCTGACCTCCACCTGTATGGGAAGTCTCAGCTCCGCAGTCACTTTCTCCGGGAAGCTTTCCCTGACCTCCTGGGTAAACTAGGGCGCCCATGGCCCCTGGCGTCACCGATCCCTCCGTGGCGAAGCTGCTTGGTCACCTGTCACTCCCGGACCAGGCTCTGAGAAGGCAGGGCTGGGGCCCCCTGGTTCCCCACTGTCTCCCAGTGCTCGGCACCCGAAGAAGCATGTCACACTGGCCAGCTACTATCAACTCTGCCCCCTCCTCCATTGCCCAGGGCTCATCAGGAGCCAGGCTGTGGGGCCTGCCTGGTTTAAGAATAATTTATGAAAAAGAACGGCATGGTCTACAGCCATACCACCCTGAACGCGCCCGATCTCGTCTGATCTCGGAAGCTAAGCAGGGTCGGGCCTGGTTATTACTTGGATGGGAGAACGGCATGCTGAGAAAATCACACACCCCAGTTGCTGAGAACTGCGAGGAGCCCTCCAATAGGGGTGGGGACCCCAGCTCTGTCACCTCCCTGTCCTGGGCCTCAGTCCCCTCATCTGTCAAGTCACACCCTGATCATGAGTGCAGGGAGCCCAATATTGGCCATTCCCCTCCTGAGTTTGCAAAATTTGATGACGGGTGACATCCCCACGCAGCTTCCTACACAGCGGGCTGGCTCTGAGCACTGATGCTCTTACCTCATATACCCATCAGAACCCCCTGTAAATACCCTATAAACACTTCTTCTGCTTTCCAGATGGGGTAACATTTCACCGAGGAGGCCCTAAAGAAGCTAACCTGCCCAGAGGTTCATAGCTGGAACATGGTGGAGCCAAGATTGAACCCGGTTCATCAGCTCGTGCTCTGCTATCTGTCCACACCGTCGGTGGAGCGAGGAGCGTTGGTGGGGCCCGAGTGGGGACCTACTGTGTCTCTGACCACCTTCTTCCCTGCCCTTCTGCAAGGAGTCGACTACAAACCTGGGTTCTCACTGAGCCTATTTGCCAGAACAGTCTCCTTCAGAAGGCTGGGCAGGAGGGACCCCACGCGATCCCACGTGAAGATGATGGAGAGACTGTTTAATAACCCCTGTGAGGTGGCTCTGTCACTGTCCCCATTTTCCCGCTGAGGCCTGCAGAAGTGAAATGCAACATGTGCAAGACTGCATGGCCAGAAAGCTCAGGAGAGGACGTAAGCAAGCCTTACTTCCTCTGATTCAGAGCCTGCGCCGTGTTCCCATTCTGCCAAATATGGCACTCACTGGCAAGTCCCTTTCCCTCCCCGGGCCTCAGTTTCCCCCTCTGTAGAATGAAAGGTAGGACGAGAAATGCCTCTCGCCTTCAATGCTCTATGGCTGAGGGCCTCTGGGCAGACTTGGATCTTGGGTGACTTGTTTTAAAAGAGACCCCCAACCTGGGCCTCCAGAAACAGCCACTGTTGTGCCTAGCAGTCAGGGATGGAGCCAAGGTGGCCTCCAGGTGAGCAGGGCTGAAGGTCAGGGACACGAAGGTGAGAGGGCATGACAGGGCTCTGGCAGGACTGAGGGGCCTGAGCCTCCCAAAGAGCCCGCTCCCCCCGACAGTGGACTCCTCTGGTGGCTCAGAGAGGGGTCAGGGCAGCACGAAAGGCTTGACCCAGTGAGTGCCACAGCTGGGGTTCACATGCAGAGCTCCCTCCCTAAAACGCCCCCTCCCCAGTAGCCCCGGCCCTAGCCAGTGAGCTCTCTCCAGGTCCCACAGAGGAAAGAGAGGTGCTCCAATAGCTCAGCGCCCACCACAGCCACCCCTGTCCTTTGGACCTGTCCTCTTCCCGCAGACACTTCTGTCACTCGGCTGCCAAAGGCTTGGGGTCCTGTCCTATCACCCTGATCCTGCCCTCTCCTACCTCCCAGGAACCTCGATGGCTCCCCCATTAGCACTGAAGTAGCCTCAAGTCCACTTAGTCTTTGAAAAAAGAGACGATCCTCCCAGAAGCCTCTGGGGCTGCTCCATCGCCCTCCCCACCTCCCGACAAACCATGTGGAAAAACATGCTGTCTCTCTTCAGCTGTGATCCAGCTTCTGCCCTGTCCACCCCCAAAACTATCTGGCCAGAGTCACCAACAGTCCCTCCTAATCCACTAGACCTGAATCCGTTCCTTCACCCAACTGTCCCACTCACTGTAAGCCCACACTCCTGCCTGGCCTCACTCTTCCGCTTCAACCCCAAAGGCTTGAGCCAGACTCCTCTCTCTCTCCATCCTCTACCCCCGGTGATCTCAACAAGGACCCCTCTTCATCCAGGAGCCCAGGCGGGGATAAGGAGGACTCCTTGAGCTTCAGGCTGACTCAGTATGGTCCCTTGGATGTCCCAGGGGCTCCAGACACCCAACATGGGACATACACTCTCTTCTCTGAAAACCAGGGACTCCTCCTGCATCCTGTTTCAGTGACCCATCTTCCCAGGCAGCCAAGTGAGAAACCCCGAGTCACTCAGACCTCTCCCCTTCTCCCCCATCCAATCCAGCCCCATCCTGCGGATTGTCCCACCAAAGTCGCTCCACCCAGGGCAGCCTCAGTCCAGACTTCACCCCTGCTGATGGCTGCACCTGGGTTTTCTGCCAGCTCTTGACCCCTCTCATCTTGCCCCTCAAACCCACCCCCCTCACACTGCAGCAAGAACAATCTCTCCCAATGATAAGTTAGCTCGTTTCTTCATCTACTCAGAGAATTTGGTGAACATCTGCTGTGTGTCAGGCACTGAACGGAAAAGCCAAGATCCACGTCACCAGACGAGGGGAACAAAGGAGATCC